AAGACACAATGTGTAATGAATTAACGTTTAGTCAAAATAAGAAAAATGGCCCATGGGTAGCAAGAGTAAGCCTTTCTCTCTGTGACCAACCATCCTACAATCTAGAATTTGAATAATGCTTACTTTCATACCTGGGAGAAAGCAAAAGTATCTGATTGAAGATAAAGTAGTTGGATTACTCTGAAGAACACAGATGCTCCCAGAATAAAAGAGATATCCCAGAACCACTATAAAGAGGATTTGTAGTACTGGCAATTTGAGTACCAGAAAAGCAGCCTTACGAGGTGACACTGGAGAAGGTGCATGAAATGTCCATGATGCAGCATGTTACATTTTGATCATCTGTTTTTAACTGAAAAAAGTTTACTCATGTTTTTCATGTTGGTAAATAAGATTTTGCATAAATGTCCAAATCAAATACTATGTTTCTTCTGCTTAAGCCTAGAAATTATTACAAAGACAGAAATGGATAATGATGGAGACCTCAAGTACAATAAAGCTTCCATTCTGCTTAAAGCTCTGTTTATCTTGGCACCATCATCATAAATGTATAATGTTCAGTTTAATTAGAACCAATTCCTTGACATAGCATCCATATTTTAATAAATATTCAATAAAACAATTAAGAATAAGAAATTACTGCAGGTTCAACCTTGCAGGTATAAAACCTGTACCTTAAAAAATTTTTATCCTATGATTTATAATTCTAAATTTTATTGCTTGAAGATAAGTAATTTCAAAGAGCACAATTTAAAATTGTTATTTGTTTAATAACATCCTAAAAATATTTCCACAGGAGATAGGTTTTCCTTCATATCCAAAAAACAACATTCTTTAAAATAAAAAAGTCCTCAAGAGATGGTTTACTCCAAATCTCTTATTTTATAAATGAAAAAACAGATAAATTAGAATTAACTTTCTGAGAGACATATAGGTAGTTACTAACACAGCTTCTAACTGAATGCTCTTCCCAGGTTAACAGCTTTTAGAAATAAAGTAGTTTACCGAATGATCTGAATTATCTAATTAGTTGATAAAGTTTTCATTATTACAGAATGATTTCCTATCCTAGGTGAACTCATTCGCTTAAAATAGAATGAGCTGAATCTTTTCGGATATAGTTCTCAATGGAAGTCTAATGTTAAATAAATTTTATCTGATCATGTGACTAATACCCTGGTATTTTTAGAGAAATTCCCCTATCTATATAGCTGTAAAATATCACACAATTATTAAGGAAAATGAGAAAGATCAGATGGTTTGATAGTATACAAATATAGGTTTTAGTTTATAGTTAACTTGCTTATTTATATCCTTTATAAGATCAACAGATTTACATGAAATTCTTTTCTTTAAAGGAAGTAATTCTGTGAAATTAATGGAAAATGACTTGTAGGTTTATTTGCAGAATAGTCCTTCAGGGTAATAAAGAATAGACAACTGGGGAAATAGAAACAGCAGATGCTATACTCATTTTATGTAAATGCCAATACATTTTCATTGGACATGATGCTAACAGTATTCCTAGTTTTTTCAACAGCAATTTAGGCTCTACATTTCCATATATAATGACTAACATAAGAAAAAAAATTTCAAAAAATGATTTAGGAAACCCACAATTTATTTTTCATTTCCTGTTAAAAAAGATAATGATCTGGCAATAATTCAATCACCATTTCTAAAGTTATTTAACAATGAGGAGGAACCCAAGACAGAGGAGGAGACAGGAGGAAAAAGAGCACAGGAGGGAGGATGAGAACACAAAGGTATCTACCTAATTTCTTATGTCGCTCTCTGAAACTACTTTAAATGTCTTACCTAAGACTTCTAAATATGAACTTTATACTCATTACTTGCTTACAATGAGAAATTCCTCCTCCAAAAATACTTTAAAAGCTTTTATCACCCTACTGATGGTGATCCAAAAGTTGAATATTACTTTTGGAAAGTAGGTCATTAAATCGAGCTGGCTCCTCCCTACAACGTTTCCTTCACAGAAGGAAAGAAGCTTTCCCAGTTAAGTATTTTAGCAGTGTCTACGTTTGTACACTACACTACCTTTAACAAGTTATAAATTATTTTTATATTTTATGATCAAATGAAATTTCTAGTGAATCTTTATTAACATAAAACATTAAAAAATAATTTAAAAACTGAAAAGGGGGAGTGAGGCCCAAATCTAGCTTTAGAAATTATTACTTACTGCAGGTACCAATAATTTCTTCACTTCTTCGACTGCTCTCTTCAGTTTGATTTCTGCTCTGTTCTGAGCATCTTCCACAGTGATGAGTACGTGTAAATCTTCATTTAGATGCTCCCAATTTGGCTTGCCTCTGTTTTGCTCCTCCTAAAAAATTTATAAAGTACACTACTATAAATTTTTCTCTTTAAAGAGAGAATGTATCTTTTATAAAATTAACCTGTTATCAATCATTTCAGCTATGTTTAAATTATTTTGCTATGATGACATTATAAACCTTCTGTATTATTTTCCTGGCTATGAAGGAAAATGAAAGCTTGACTGTGTCAAAAGCCAGTTTAACTATCTCCTTACCCACCACCAGACATGGAACCCGATTCTAAGGATAAAGTGGTAACACTTGACAATCACAAACCTCCGGAGTGGTCCTAGGTACACATGGTATCATCCTTAAATTGTAACAAAGTAATGTGGAGAAATACACTATTACTTCCATACTTGATCTAAGAGTAAAAAGAAGGTCATCAAGGTTAAGCTAGCCACTTCTCTGGTCACACAGCTGACAAACTATCAATTTAGGAGCTGAATCAAAGGTTTCACTGTCAAATTCAGTGAGTTTTCCACTTCATTACAACTGTTTTAAAAAATACTAGTTGTATTCAACATTTGATAAAGTATTTTGCAAATAGACATCATGTAGGAAAAGAGGTATTTAAGTATTTCATATGGTAATTATGAAAACATTTCATCATAATCACAAAAAGAAATCAATGCAAGAATAGTTTCAACTATTTCTGACAATGCTTTAAAAAGATAAACGATTAGGCCACTCTTTATTTCTATCAGATCATAAATAATAGTTTCACAGAGAATACCTAAGTTTAATTTTCTTGATGTCTTCTAATCAGCTAGTAAAAAATATCCCCATATAGAAAACCTTGTCAGGCAGTGCCTGTGGCTCAAAGGAGTAGTGCGCCGGCCCCATATGCCGGAGGTGGTGGGTTCAAACCCAGCCATGGCCAAAAAAAAAAAAAGAAAACCTTGTCAAGCTACACGGATGTTCAGAAGTAGTTAGCCACACTTCTCCTTCACCTGTGATATAATTTCCTAATGTCAGAGTTGCTCCTTGTTTTAAGTTGTAGAGGTAATATATAAACATTAATAATTTATAATTTTAAATTATCCTAAAATTTAATATAAATTTCTAAGTAAGTAACATACAAATGTATACACAAATGCACCCGGCTCAGAGGAACGTACCACAGACAAACAATGAACAGTACGTGCAGTTGGATTTTTATCTTAAAGGCATCTAATAAGACAAAATAAAGCTAGTATAATACAACAGCTTTCTACTATAACTTACAAGTTTGAACTTAGCTAACAGGGATAAAAATAAATTCAAACAGTAAAGCAAATACCTCTGCTTTATATTTTGTTAGTATCTTTAGAATCAAAACACATCCACATGCTATAAGGGGATATGAAAAAAATGACGCAAAGCAGAGCCTTATGTTGGGCTATCTTTACGTTTCCAAAGAGTGAACTCAAAAGTCAGCACAGTGCCCCACAGGGTACTGGGCATGTCTGAATTTTCAAGGGGAACACAGCAATAACACCTGTCAGATACCAAATAAACTACTAGATCAAAATATCTGACCGTCTCAATGTTAGATCAGACCACATTCCTTTTGGTGATGTCACATCTTTACAAAGTGAAATGTTCATCAGTTGCCACAATAAAAAGTTAAATCCTGCAAAAATCAATGCAATACAAGAAAGGAAGGTGATGACATGTAAACTGATTTCCAGGTTTGAGATTTGAACAACATTCCCCCAAACCACAATCCTTTTAATAAATAATGTGGTTATTTACAACACAAATAAAATTTGTTTCTATTTGATATTTCTAAAACAATAGTATTTGATATAAACATATCAAAATTTATATCAAATGCTAATTATTTTAGAAATAAATATCTAATAAAGGGAACTGAGATATTTCTTTTAGCCTAGAGTATAATATTAAAACTTGAGAAACTAAAGAGTCAATGAATCAGGAAACTGAGAACCTATGGGGTATCCATACAGCAAAGGGTATAAAATGTATATAAATACCTCCACCATGGCAAGAAAAAGCAGTTTTAAAATCCAGATTTTAATTTTTATATTGAAGAATGCTAACAATTATTTCCACCATAATGCATATTTTTTATTTTCTCTGACAAAAGTTATGGGTATTATTTGGTGGAGCTAAAAGTGTACTGTTTATCTAAACCCATATATGCAAGGAGTTTTGCTTCCAGCCAAGATAAAAGTTCCAAGAATCAGATTAGCTCTCCCTTCTGAAACAATCAGGGAACATGTAAAGCACATGAAGCAACAGTTTTAAGTCACCGACATCAGATAATTAAGAACAATGATGCAAAAAAATGAGGTGACCCTACCACTGTCCCAGCTTATGGGCTTGAGAGTCTCCAGATCCATTCCCGGATGGGAGTCCAGGCAAACTAAAGCAGCTACAGCTCACAAAAGAGGAGTACCGGCCTGCACACAAAACTGCAAAGGGCTCAGCTGAATACTTGAGTACAGGACTAGGAAGAAATTCCAGAGGCCAAAGAAGGTGCCACCCAAAAGGATTCAAGATCCAAGCACCAGGTTCTCACAAAGAGACAGGGAAAGGCTTCATGATGACAGTGAGTGAAGTATACAGAGGATCTTGCTCAATAGTGGGAAATAATTAAGCCTCATCTGATCACTGTTCTGGTACAGCCTAAATAAATTTTAAAAGCATGACCTAAAAGCATCAATTGTTTCCAACTACCATAACTGTATCCCAGAACAAAGCTCAAGGACATTTACAGGAATATAAAAATAGCCATCCGACAAGCCAAAATTTAGACTCTTTGGCATCCAATTAGAAATTACCAGTCATGCAAAGTAGCAAGAAAATACAATACATATGAGATGAAAAAAAAATCAATAATCAAAACCAATCTAGAACTGACACAGATGTTATAATCAGTGGACAAAGAGTTTAAAAGCTATGTGTGTGTGTGTGAGAGATAAGCATACAGTTAATAATCCAAGCTAGAAACATAGTAAAATCATGACTTGCCATAGAAACTTTTACATATGGTAAAGAAAAAACCCAGATTTTTGCATGATAGAAATAATAAAGGTGGAGTATAATTTGCCATCTGCTTTACTGAAGTAATAAATAATTGAGCTATAAAACATTTTTGGCAAATGTATACTCTTAATTCAACAACTTCAATGACAGTTGAAAATACAAGAATGTTACACCTAACGCTTGCTTCAAAAAAGCCATTTGAGCCTATAGCTTCAGAAACAGTTGAAACAACAAAAACTTTCAAAGATGAGGACATTAATGGAATCATGTATTTTTTTTACTTGGCTCCTAAAATTGTTCTAAAACACTGTATAGAGTTTAAAATGTACAAACTTATATAAGAAAATGGAAAGCAATAAAAAAATTCACTATCTAGAAAGCAGAGGAGGAGGGGAGGGGAAAGGGAAGAGGAGAGGAGAGACTTCTGTTTTTCACGTCAGGCCTTATAAAACCTCTCATCTGTGTACATATCCAAATTCATGCTAAAACATTTTTTTAAGGTCATTCTACCCAGAAGACACATTGATCCTACTGTAGTCTATTTTAGCTCAAGAAAAGTTAGTTCCTTCAACAGTGTGTTTGGAACCTAGTAATTATTTAATACATACATAATTTCTCCCTGTGATCTCATTCTGTTTCTTAAACATACAAAGGCATTCTGGGATTGATGGATATTATAAAAGAAGGAAATAAAATGTGTCCATGAGGGTCTTCTTTGTTAAGTAAGTAAGAAATGTATACAATGATAGGATGTTTACTTCTAAGCTCAAAATATCCACATTAAGAAACTACTCCCTCACATTTCTCATTTCAATAAATAAATCAGGACAAATAAAAAGGTTAGTATGAAGCAGACAGGAGATGACAAAATGAACATAAACCAAAACTGGTTTACTTATCAGAAACTGCAGCCTAGAAGGGCATTAGTTTCTTTTCACATTTACATTTCAAATAATATTTCACGGGTAAATACCTGAGATACCGTGATGTGGGAAGAGCAGCTCATTAATACTAACACTAGAATGTCTGCTGTATAGTCACCTAAAGCAATAATATTATTTCACAGTATGTTTCATATTATTTCAAGTATCACATAGTATGTGAATCTTTGGCAATATAGGAAAACATGGTTGTTTTGTTTTCTTTTCATAAACATATCTTCAAATATCGATTTTCTTTTCTTTCTTTTTTTTTTTTTTTTTTGAGACAGAGCCTCAAGCAATCCCCCTGGGTAGAGTGCCATGGCATCACAGCTCACAGCAACCTCTAACTCCTGGGCTCAAGCGAGTCTCCTGCCTCAGCCTCCCAAGTAGCTGGGACCACAGGCGCCCGCCACAACGCCCGGCCATTTTTTGGTTGCAGCCGTCATTGTTGTTTTGGCGGGCCCAGGCTGGATTTGAACCCACCACCTTAGGTGTATGTGGCTGGCGCCTTAGCCACTTGAGCCACAGGCGCCGAGCCCAAATATCTATTTTCTAGTACAGTTCTGCCCAACCTCCAAAACCAACTTGACATTTGTACTTCAGTCTCTAAAGCCCTCTCAACATGTCCAGAATGGAACTCATTACCTCCTCCCTTCCGCCTCCAACCCTGCCCAGCATGTGTCCCAGCTATTACGGATCCTAAATGCAGTTACAGCTCACTTGTGTCTTAATAGATACTGGTCAGATGCACATTCACCCATTCATTTCAATCCATACTAACTTAAGTGCCATTCCTGTTCACCTTCTCAGAACAGGCTCGCATTTAATCCATGTTATAAATAAACTGGCCCAGTCCCCAAACATGAGATTTTGATATCCACAACTTTATGCAACATACCTATCACCTGCATCCAGAATGCCTCTTCTTCCCCCCTCTTTTTTGGGAGTCAAAAGCTTTTTATTTTATTTTTTTTATTAAATCATAGCTGTGTACATGAATGCAGTCATGGGGTACAGCGTTTTATATACAATTTGAAATATTTTCATCAAACTGGTTAACATAGCCTTCATGGTATCCTCTTAGTTATTGT